AAAGAACCCTGGTTAGAAAAATTCTGACGTTGGGTTTCTCTCCCATTAGCCAATCGGAAGCTATCGGCGTTTGGGCTAGAGTTCACCAGGTCAGACCCGATTTCCTCTTGTACGGCTCCCCCTCCTCCTTCCTTTCCCCCTTCCTTTTCCTTTCCCCTTCCTTTCCCCCCCCCCCCCTCTTATCCCTTCCCCTCCCCTCCCTCACTTTCTTCTTCCTCTTCCTACCTCCTTTCTCCCTCTACTTGGCCCTTTCCTTTTCTCTCTTCCTCCTCCCCCCCTTCTTCTCCCCTTCCCCCTCCCCTGTCTCTCTGCGCTGCTGCTCTCTCGTTGTCTCAAGTCTTCTTCCTGTGAGCAGGAAAGGAGTGGACCGAAAGCCCAAGCATCTCCTGCCAGTCCGCTGCCTCCCTCGCTTCCTCTATCACCTCCAAGAGCTCCAGGGCCTCTGCCTCCCCGTCCTCCCACCCCTCCCGCCCCTCCTCCCGCGTATCCAAGATCACAGGCAAGCTTCCTTTCCCTCCTCCGATCGCTCGCTGACTTCTTCTGCAGAGCGCCTGCTGCACGAGCATGACCAGGACGAGGAAGGAAGAGGACAGGGAGGAAAGCAGCAGGTTTACAGACGGGACTCCAAGGATCTACAGGAGCAGAGGGAGAGGCAGGAGCAGAGGGAGAGGCAGGAGCAGAGGGAGAGGCAGGAGCAGAGGGAGAGGCAGGAGCACAGCAAGCAAGGACGTCAGAGCTCGCAGTCGTCTCCTGCTGTGGACCGGATGAGCTCCTCTACCGACAGCGTCTCTGCTGAGAGCCCCCCCCTGCCACCCCCGCCTGAGCCCCGTCACAGCCATGGGGAGGCGAGAGTGTCGGAGAGGAGGATGAAGTTCCTGATGACCTGAAGATGGTATGGAAGGGACCATGAGAAGGAGGAAGAGAGAGAGAGGAGGACAGGAAATGAGGAGGAACAAGGCGAAAGTGAAGTGAAGATGCAATCAAGACAATAAACACAAGTATGACATGAATCACAGGCGACCAGACACCTTCTAGGGCTGTAAGCACACACCGTCTCTTCCTCTCCTGACAGCATCACAACCGTACGGTACGGCAAGGTACTGGCGGCCGAAGACTCCCACAAAGAAACACACAAACAAACATCGCTGCTATCAGCAGCTGACCGGCCGGTTCGTTTTCGCACCAACACCCTGAGCACTCACTGTCATATGGCAGTCTTGTACCGTAGTAAGTTGGCCGCTTAGTGTGAGTGAGAGAGCAGGGGGTGACCACCGTGTCAGAGTCGCAATGATCAGTGTGGAGAGCATGGTGGTACCGTGACTGGTGTTGTCTTGTGACTTTTTCGAGAGAGCAGATGAAGCACTCAAGTGGTCACGGTTTTTGTCTCGAGTTTGTTTGAGAGAGCAGGGGGGTGGCAGTAGTAGTATTAGTGTGAGGATGAAGGTGGTAGCACTCAGGGTAGTAGGGGTGTTGTCTTGAGTTTGTTTGAGAGAGCAAAGACGTGGCAGTAGTAGTATTAGTGTGAGGATGACGCTGGTATCACTCATGGCGGTAGAGGTTGTCGTCTTGAGTTTGTTTGAGAGAGCAGACGGTGTGCGTCCAAGGAAGTAGTGCAGCTCCGAGGACACACGTGAGGCTTCGGGACGCAAGCGCCCGGGTGAAGCCTCCCGCGAGAGAAATTGAGTTAATCTCGAAGGGGCATTGCCCCTGTATCAGAGATTAAGCTGATAAGAACAGATACTACACTTGATCTTAGCCAAAAGGCCGAGAAGGTATGAGCTTTCTCCGCCCCCCTCCTCCCCCCTCCTTCCCCTCTCCCTTCTGCCCCCGTCTCCGATGGCGGGCCCTTGTCCTCTACCCCCACCCCTCGCATCGTCACTCCAAATCACCCCTCCTCCTCCACCTCCTCCCTCTACCCTCCAAACTTGTTGGTGGCGGTAGGGGAGGTCACCGCCCGAGGCCTGACGCTCATGGCCGCAGGCTCTTCTGCCTTGATCTGCGGTATGAGGGCAGGCTCGCATGCTAAGGGGGAAGGAGCGAGGGTCTAGAGCTCCCTCTCAGCATTGCACGCAGCCCTACCTCCTGGTCCAGAGCAGCTTCATGCGCCAGACATGGTTGGCAGAGCCAGGAGGTCGGGAGGGGGAGGAGATGGGGAAGGGGGAGGAGAGGAGACATGACAGACATGGCACGTGAAAGGGCTGGAGGAGGGAGGGATCAGCAGGGATCAGCTTGATGAGTGGAGGATTGTGGCAGTGGGGTGTTGGAGGGACGAGAGGTGAACGTATCCCACCTGCCATGGCACTGATGCAGATCTGGAGGTATGGCAGGGAGCAGGGATTCAGAGACCAGTTCCCTAGTATGATCGTCTCATCTCGTTGGAAGTTGTGCTATGTAGAGCACCAAAACCATGCGTTGTTACTAGACTGCATCTCTCAGTACACTGGTATAGACTGGACAGAATACAATCACAGATAATGTACATTAGGTCACTAGTGCGAATCACAATTAGAACATGAAGGTTCCAGGCATTGGTGCGACGGATCCAATGTCTCCATAGTCACCCAGTGGCATCTGTTCAGCGGTTGCGCCTAGCCGGAGAACTTGGTCCACAACTTGTGGATGCATTGCAGCGCCAGAGAGCAAATGCGTATGCGATATGTAGCTGTTCAAACGATGTGCAGCCATCCCGCTCTGCATGTTCGGCGCTGTGTTCATATCTATTCAGAAATCAGTTGCTGGCATTCAGGAGCGGACTCGGTATACCTTGGGATTCCTTGCCTATTACCAACTTCTGTCCGACGTGCTGGAAACAACAAGTCACAACCATGTTATGCAGACAAGCAAAGATAATAACCTGATAGCCAACGAATGCCAAAGATGACTGTGACTGCGGAATTTCGAAACCAAGAATGGGATCGGCAGACACCCACTCACAATGCTGTTCAATTGGTCCAAAAATAAGATGTCCGCCACAGGATAGATTTTGGTCAGCAGAAGCTAGATTGTCCGAGATAAACGACCCCTTATGAACCAACCCTGCCCTGGCTATCCCATTAAGCTCCGAGAAGTAAGCCCGAGCGTGTCCTGACAAGCTGATCACAGGGTGTGATGGAAATGAGCATACAGGATCCAAGTGATGCTCAATCCTGAGGACCGAAAGAGAGGAATTCACCAACCTATCAGAGTCGCCCCAAACGTATTTCGGAGACCCGAAGATCACGATCTCATTGACATTGTAACCCATTGTCTTGAGCCTCATTCCAAGTATAGTTGAAACCGCACCTCCCAGACTGTGCCCCGTCAAACTGATCCTCATATCCTTGTTTAATTTAGGGAGAATTTCAACCATCAATTCATCTGCAACCTCTGCGAAACCTGTATGAAAGCTGACATCTTGTATCAACGATTCCTTTCGAGGCCAAACTTTGCATGCTTGCACAAAATTCGTTGCACAAACAGAACCACGAACAGCTATGACCGCTCTATCCCGACCCTGGTCGACGGATACAACTGCAAGCCCCTGAGTTTCAGGCGCTCTTACAACAGATACATCGACATCTCTGGTGCCTTGGACGAAAGTCTGATCGGCATCTGATCGGTTGGATCGAGCCTCTTCATCGAAAAGCTCTCGCACTTCTGTTTCTCTTTCCTTCCGCTTCGATCCACAGAGGTTGGCGAATCTGGCGTACCAGTGAATCAACTTCCATGTGGGGTCATCTTCCTCCGTGGCCGCTACTTGAAAGAAGTCACTCATGGGAAAACTGCCCACTTCATCATTTTTGGGTTTATGTGAGCTCGAGTAGCGGCCGATATTGCCAGTAGAAAAATTACAAGACAGGGCAAAGCAGGATCCGAACAAAGCAACGGACTTTCCAGCATGCCATCTGCCATCCTTGTTCAAAGGGTGTGTATTCCATGACATCTGCGAGCTGGAATGTCTCTTGAAATTCTTATGCCATTTATCTCTTAGGAAATTCCATGCTTCATCGGCAAGCCTTTTGCGATGGTTGGTCATTGTTAAATCCGATCAAAAGACTTGGCAGGTTGCAAGAAGATCTGACCCAGTCCTATTGATCTCCGACTTCAGCCATTAAGCACATACAGAACCTAAAGATGAGTCTCTGAGCACGAACCAGCTGAAAGCCGCGCGTTCGTCGTACGGTCCAACCGGTATTGCGAGAGCCTCCAGGTTCAAAAGAACTCAATTCACAACTCCACCTTACTTGGGAGGGAAAGATCGGGTAGTTGTGAATGTAAACTTGCAAGGGGGGGGGGGGGTTCCAGTAAGAGGGTGCAGGGGAGGCAGGGGAGTTGGAGGTTGCGTTCAAGCAGAGTTAACCTTTCTGTATGCCTCCTCTCCGCCCCCGATCGCCACGCCTCTATTCCTCCCACTGGCGTCGTACTACCCCCTGCACCCCATCGCTCCTCTAGCAAACTACCCCTTCTCACGTCTTGAAGTCATCTTCACCCCCTTTGTTCAGCTTTCAAACTACCCCCGATGCAAGCCTTGGTAATTCCCACCCCTACCCTCTGGTTTCCCCAGGAAGTACCTCTTTTGGTACCTTTACTTGTGAGTCATCCACCTACCCCTCTTCGCCCTGTTTTTCAGACCCCTTTTCTTGGACCAAAAAGTTTTTTATTGGAACTGGTACAACTAAAATATTTTATGTGCTTCTATCCCTACTTATCTTCAGTACCAGTCCTCGGGGAGAGAAGGGGGCCAGGAGGAAAACTAATAAACTTAGTATTACCTTTTAAAAACGTCACCCGAGTCACTCAGTGACTGTCAGTGTGCCCGGGCCTCACTGTCAATGACCGTCTTGAAAGTTCGGCCGCCCGGCGGCCGTGCACTGGTGCGGCCCGGAGTCGTCGGACTGAGTGCATGGATGCCAGTGATCGGATCGTGTCACAGTGTATCAGTGATGCAGTGCCGCGCTCCCCGCCGCGTACCATCTGGTCGGCTGAGCCTTTCAATGATTTTCCCGCCGCAGAGTCACTGACTCGGCGGCCTCCGACCGCCGCCCGGCCCCCCCGAGCCGGCCCAGCACCGGGTCGGCGGCTGCTCGTCGGAGAGGCCGCACTGCCGCCGTGCGGCAGTTAGTCGCTACTGCCACTGGGCAGCCAGGCCCGAGTCGGCGGCCGCGGCCCACCACTGCTGAGCGGGCCTGGGCCTCACCGTCTGCCACGGTGCCACGGTGACCGCCGCACTCAGCAGCGGCACTCACAGGCTGAGAGTCACGAGTCGACGCGCCGCGAGTCCGACCGTCACGGTCCCGAACTCGGCGCGTCGGCCCCGGAAGTTGCCTGCCCGGGCAGCCTCCGCCCCGGGCCGGCGGGTCCGATAATCATACAATGATACTATGATAGTCTCTCGCCTCCGAGTTGAATAAGTGGCACTGAGCGCAGTGAGCCGCAGAGGCAGTGTGATATCTAACCGATAGTTTAGAGTCACGGTGGGAGATAACCGTCAACATACTACTTACCAAAAGAACTCGGAGGACAAAATGACACCAGCCGCGGAATCCTGTGAGCCTTTTGTTCCATCCGCCCGGCTTCGTGGCAGACCGTGGCAAACTTGAAAGGAAGGCGGGCAAAGATAGTCGTCTGTTGCCTTCCCCTTCCAGCGCACTCCCTCTGGTCCTCTCCGTCGGCAGCTCGTAACCCTTCTGATCAATCACAAAGTCAGCATCGCGCTCAGGACTATCCGACAACACATCGCAACAAGCTCACCGCCTGAGATCCCAAGAAGTTTCCTCGACTTCTTGGATCTTGGGGATTTGATTGGACTTCTCGCTGACAGGAACGATCTTATTTTTGGCTTCGCGTGTATTCTTTTGCTGGGCTAGGTCAATGAGTCCCTGCTCCCTTCCATACCTCCAGATCTGCATCAGTGCCATGGCAGGTGGGATACCCAGTTCACCTCTCGTCCCTCCAACACCCCACTGCCACAATGCTCCACTCATCAAGCTGATCCCTCCCGATCCCCTCCTCCAGCCCTTTCACGTGCCATGTATGTCATGTCTCCTCTCCTCCCCCTCCCCCTTCTAATTGTGACTCGCGTTAGTGACCTAATGTACATTATCTGTGATTGTATTCTGTCCAGTCCATACCAGTGTACTGAGAGATGCAGTCTAGTGACAATGCATGGTTTTGGTGCTCTACATAGCACAACTTCCAACGAGATGAGACGATCATACTAGGGAACTGGTCTCTAAGTCCCTGCTCCTTGGTACCTAGTTCACCTCTCGTCCCTCCAACACCTCAGTCCCACCGTCCACCTCCCTTCTCGCCGACCCGCCCCTAGCCTCCACTTCAACCCCACTACCACGTGCCATGTCTGTCATGTCTCCTCTCCTCCCCCTCCCCCATCTCCTCCCCCTCCCGATGTCCTGGCTCTGCCAACTATGTCTGGCGCATGAAGCTGCTCTCAGGCTGGACCAGGAGGTAGGGCTGCGTGCAATGCTGAGAGGGAGCTCTAGACCCTCGCTCCTCCCCCTTTAGCATGCGAGCCTGCCCCCATACCGCAGATCAACGCAGAGGAGCCTGCGGCCATGAGCGTCAGGCCTCGGGCGGTGACCTCCCCTACCGCCACCAACAAGTTTGGAGGGTAGAGGGAGGAGGTGGAGGAGGAGGGGTGATTTGGAGTGACGATGCGAGGGGTGGGGGTAGAGGACAAGGGCCCGCCATCGGAGACGGGGGCAGAAGGGAGAGGGGAAGGAGGGGGGAGGAGGGGGGCGGAGAAAGCTCATACCTTCTCGGCCTTTTGGCTAAGATCAAGTGTAGTATCTGTTCTTATCAGCTTAATCTCTGATACAGGGGCAATGCCCCTTCGAGATTAACTCAATTTCTCTCGCGGGAGGCTTCACCCGGGCGCTTGCGTCCCGAAGCCTCACGTGTGTCCTCGGAGCTGCACTACTTCCTTGGACGCACACCGTCTGCTCTCTCAAACAAACTCAAGACAACAACCTCTACCACCCTGAGTGCTGCCTGTTTCATCCTCACACTAATACTACCGTACTACTGCCACGCCCCTGCTCTCTCAAACAAACTCACTGAGACAACAACTTCTACCTTTTGAGGCTATCGTGGCAGCTTTATCCTGACCCTGACTGACACTGATATTACCGGGGACCGTGTGACTGCCACGCCCCTGCTCTCTCGAACAACTTGCCAAGTCCGACCGGGCCGCACAAGTTAACACCCGTACCCTGGCACTTCTTATCCGACTCAGCATGATGCTTCCACTGGGACTTCACAGAGTCATTGTGAACACCGGCCGGCTCCAAGCCTCCGAGGCTCAGTTGAAGCATAATGGCCCGTCGGGCATACCGTAGTGCTCGGATCGGACCGTGACTGAAGTTGAGTCGCACAGCCGCTGAGCGGCCGGGCCTGCTGAGTGGCAGCCCGCCGCGGCGGGGGCCGGCCCGGAGCCTGACCCGGGGCGGCGGGGGCCGGGGTCGGCGGCGAGTCAGGCTCCGACGGGCCCGCATAGCGTTGACATTTTGCTTTTTCTGCTTTGGGCTGTATGTTTTCCCGTGAGGGGGTTGTTCTGCTTTCTAGGTGGATTGGGGGGTGGCGTGTTTGAGGATTTCAAACAGGGTCCAAATTTCAGGTTTATAACTCTGATGTTGTTTTCCAATAAGATATTTTAAACTGTATTGTGGAATGGTTGAGTATAAACAGAGAAGTAGGGCTGCACCCCAGAAGTTGCACTGAGATCATGGGGTAGTCGACTAACTAATTTGTAGAGCCTTCTTATGGTACAATTTTATAAACAAGTTTGAACGACCTCTCTACACGCCATGAGCCTCCCCTTGTTCGGGGCACGTCGCACCGCTCTGTACTGCCCTAACCATGGCTCGCAAACAGCGAGCCCGCGGCAGCGTGTGCAGACATCAGATGTTCACCGAACCTCCTCATGGGAAATTCCTGAGGTGTAGAGATGATGATCCTTGAGGAGTGCTTCGTACAGTGCGTGGATCTCACGAAAAATCGTTTGGTGAGCGAAGAGCATCAATAATACAAGTGAAAATCACCATCACAGGGATACGTTGCAATCGAAACCGGGTTGTGAAATACCCTAAGCTATCTGCGATGCATGACAGGGAAACTGAGTTGGAGTAGATGGATGGAGATTACACACAAGACGACAGGGAATCATCATCCGACGGTGACTGGATTATTCAAAAGCCGTACAGTCACCAGTGAGCTCAAGAACACATGTCTTCACGATGATGGCTGATAGGCTCGCAAGAAATACAGTGCATTTTAGCAGTGAGCTGCTCGATTGCTTGAAACCACGATGATCCACAGCACTATCGAATGATAACAAGCAAGTCCAGTGGTTCGTGAAGGATTCTTCATCCGGTTTTCAAGGATGTGTTGGAACGATGAAACATGTTGCAAATCACCAAGGTCTATGCCATTTGATCACATGATGCATCATCTAAATATTACTGGTGTGAACTTGCATCAGATCGTGTGTCCATCAATGAGCCGCTGCCAAGCAGATGAAACGGTCACAGCAAACACGAGCACTTTGAAGATGCTGATATTCCAGGCCGTACAGCATTTATGATGTGGCTACATGTCACATGCTTCTTGGTTAACACAGAAATAACTTCGCCAGGCAAAAGATGGAACGTCGTCAGGATTACAAGGAGGTCGGTTGTGCTTTTACCCAGATTGAAACGCTTGTAATAAAGATATGATCACCTGAATGTGGAATTCTGTTTATTGATTCACAGTGTTTGTGGTTCGTTTACAATCATCGAGTGTTTGCTCTGTTGAACAAGGCACCCCTCTGTAGAGCCAAATGCGACAAGAACTCTACTGTTGCATGGTAGCATTGCGAACTGTCCAAACAAGGCAGGATTGATTCGAAGAATATCTCATTTATTGATATCAGATTCATCTGCACATTGTTTCATTTCTAACTAGGTTTCTGCAGCGTTGTGGAAATGTCATGACAAAGGAAGAACTTAGTTGCAGTGCAGAAAAATCATCCAACGTCATGAAACATGGAAATGCAATTGTCAATCCACTTGATCATGGGTATAGTGATTCATGATCAACAACGATGATTCAAAGTCATCTATCCTGGCAGGTAAAGAAATCCTTTGTGCAAACGTCTCTTCATGCATCATTGAACGGTTGAGCATGTAAAGCTTTCTCTATAGAAAAGTGAGGTGCATGAATCCTGACCGTAAGACTAGAAGAATTGAAAGTGAGTGATGACATGAGAACACATATCTAGACAGCAAAGTCGCTTAAGGTACAGTTTGATACAAATTTCTCACAAATCATGCATTTGAGCTCAACGTTCAACCTACGGCAATTTGAAAGAAGGGTCAATCAGAGTTGATTCTGTTCAATGGTGAATCTATCATTAGTTGCTTAGCTGTTCATGAAAATTTCATCTTGTCTTCGAAGAATATTTTCAAGTACACACGCGGATTGTTTGTACCTAGGGTGCATATTCCAGTACACGATGGATGATTCAAACCTTGGCCCAACCTGCAGAGTTGAGAAAGAAGCTCGATCATCTCTTACAGGTATGATATGAGATCTTCATCTCATTCCTATCTCAGTTGGGTTGGATTCGAAGTCTCTCAATATCGAGGTTCATCCTCGCGAGTCAGGAAGGCACCATTTCATCGCCTCTTGCTCGTCCAGGGAGAGGGGGCTTGGGGAATGAGAAATGGGGGCTACCCCCTACCCCCTATCACAGAGTTTCAAACTGGTTCAAAGGTGGGTAGTTGAGGGTGCTCCATACCCACCCCACCCCCCAACGAAAGTCAAACGGAGGGGTTCTCGGAAGTCGAAGTTCCGACCAGTTTGGCCCTCGTTTTGTACCATATAAACGCTGCAATATTAAGTTGGTACCACAGATACTTCTAAAATTCGTACTTTTACTTTGGTTTGGCGTGGTGAAGTGTCCAAGCAACCAAATTCAAATCACCCTACCCCTCTCTGGCCCTGCGCAGCAACGATTTTCCTAAGAGCGAGTACCCTCCTACACGCCTTCTCAAAGTAGGGTACTCCCACATGGCATGAAATGAAGGGACCCCACAGGCCCTTCGAAAAAAAAAAATCTTGCCAATTTTTCCTATGAGCGCCCGGCCGGAAAAGCAACGCTATGGCCGGCCCGGCCGCGCCCCCGCCGCCCGGCGGCCGGCCGGCCGTCCGATCGGACCGTCCTACCCGTCGGGCCGGTTGTCACGACTGACTCGGATCGGACCGTATCACAATCATCCGAATCAGGTCACCGTACGGTACGGTCGCTCGGAGCCGCCCGCACGGCTCAGACCGGCTGGCGGCGACCCGGCGGAGCCGCACTGCCCGGCGGTGCGGCGGCCGCGCGGCCCACCGTGGCCAGGGATGCTTTTCCGTTACAGACGTTGCGAGCTCAAGTCAGTTAACTTTAGAGGCAGGTGAAGTTGTTTTGACAGTACTACAGGAGGACTACCAGGTTGAAGGATATGCATACAGAAGTATTAATTTCTCCTACAAATATTATAATAAAAGTTTTAAATACCAATTATTTCTGAAGATATTTACTTTTAATATCCCCTTTTCAAGAGCTGAGGAATATTTCCTCCACCTACAAGCTAGGGTCCTGAGTACAAGCGAAGATAGAAAACAGAGCATATTCAGTACAAATCAGTCAGTCAAATCTGTAAAACTCAATTTATGAGAAAACAAAAACAGTTTTAATCCCTCTACAATCTTAAAACTACATCCACAGGCGCCCAATGGCGGTTCCCCTGTAGACTGGACACCTTGGGTGGTATTGCGCTGATCGTCACTTATTCATCTCTTGTCTGTTCTTTTGGGTTTCAACCTCACTCTTTCCTTTACTCACATACTTTGTCTCACTCTTACCTCCATTCTTGCAACGCGATTGGAAACTTGGGCTGTTCTGTAAGGTTGCTGCTGTGGCAACTATCGGCGACAGTGATGCGCAGTCAGCTGAGCCTTCCTGTTGGACCTATGTCAAGGCAAGCAAGGCAAGTAATCTCTTGAAAGTTTCTGTGGCACTGCTGTTTTCAATCTAAGTCTTTCGACTATGTTTGAAACGAATTAAGAGGACAAGGACTAGTGTGTAATAAGCTTTGCTGATTGAAAAATCAAATCCAAGAATGGCTAAAACCGACGATGGAGAGTTTCAAAGAGTCAATGGATTTGAAAGGCCGTTTGATACTCTGCAACTACTTTCATGGATCATGTTTTCATTTATGGTTTTCTCGTTTTTCCTGGTTGTGATGCCTTTGGAGGAAGATAAATCACGTTTGATAGCAATTACTATTGTTTATGCTTTATTGCTACTTGCTGTTGTCTTATTAGCTGCCAGAACATCTGCTCTCAATCCCGTGGACAGAACTATTGATGAGAAGCTACAAGCAACGCCAAGAGACGTTCCAACGGGAGATTTGCTCTATTGCAGTTACTGCAAGTGCAAGGTTCACAAGAGGAGCAAGCATTGCCGACTCTGCAACAAATGCATAAGGAATTTTGATCATCACTGCAAGTGGCTCAATAATTGTGTGGGGTCTGTCAACTACCCTCCTTTCTTTATGCTGATATGCATAACTTTTCTTTTCACTCTCCTTCATTCGGTTTGGAGTTTTGTAATTTGGAAGAGATTGTGGGACGAAAGGAGCTCAAAAGCCTACTTTTATGAGTCTTTGCAGTACTTCCGAGGGTCTTCGCACACTGGACTTCTCGTCTTGGTTTTCATTTCATTCGTTGCAGCGGCGATTGCATGCATCCTGCTGCTGCAGCTGGTTCTGTTCCACATCTATCTCCAGTACACCGGGATGTCTACGTACGATTACATTCTCAGTCGGAGGGACAAGAAGACAAGGCAAAAGAACTTACGCGAAGCCAAAAATAAGATCGTGCCTGTCAGCGAGAAGTCCAATCAAATCCCCAAGATCCAAGAAGTCGAGGAAACTTCTTGGGATCTCGCTGAGATGCAAGCGGCAGAGAACCAGGCGGTGAGCTTGTTGCGATGTGTTGTCGGATAGTCCTGAGCGCGATGCTGACTTTGTGATTGATCAGAAGGGTTACGAGCTGCCGACGGAGAGGAACAGAGGGAGTGGGCTGGAAGGGGAAGGCAACAGACGACAATCTCTGCCCGCGAAGTTAAGTCCGACGGTAGCCTCGGAAGAGGAAACGGCCCGAGACGAGGAGGAGAGTCAAGCTGCGTCAAATTTGCCAAAGGAGAAGAAGCTGGGAAAGCTGCGTCCTTTGCCTGTAAAACTTGCGAACTGATCCGAACTAAATGTGATTGAGGATTAAAGTGCATGTAAAGTAATCATCATCCGATGATCTGAGCCGCGAGCCGTGACGCCGCCGGGTTGCAAGTGAGTCAGAGGTCTCAGTTTCCAACTGTACTATCATGGCAAGCTCAGGTCACGGACTCGGGAGTTCACCGTGCCCGACTAAGCGGCAGTGCCGGCCACGCCTGCCCGGCCGGCGGCCCGCCAGTCACCGGATCGTGGAGGACAAGTTCTCAAATTGATTTGAATCGAATTTATTCGCCTTGTGCGCGCCATGGAGCCATTCACCAGCTTGTTTCCAAGTGGGGATGGCGGAAGGAAAGGAGGAGACGATGGCGAGGAGGGCAGAGAGGGGAAGAAGGAGAGAAGAAGACGACAAGAGTAGGAAGGAGGGAAGAAGAAGGGGAGGAAGAGAAGAAGGGGAGGAAGAGAAGAGGAAGATTGGGAGAAAGATATCAGAGGGGACGAGGTGATGAGTGAGCAGGAAGAATCGCCATTGGAGGACCCCGATGCGATCAGTGACCCTAACAAGACGCTAAGGGAGAAGAAGAGGCAGGAACGCGATGGCTACAGACAAACTAGCTCATGTGTAGTGAACAGGGGTCAATTAAGGACATCGTTGTCAAGAATCCAGTGGGAGGGCGGGAACGAATAGAGCATGAATGGGAGAGGGAGGGAGGGAGGGAGGAGGGAGGAAGAGAAGGGTAGTGGTGGTGATGGTGGTTGGTGGTGAGTGGAGCGGAATGAAAGAGGTTGGACGGGCATGGGAGGAGGTTTCCTGGGTAGAGACTGAGAGTTCCAACAGATGTGTGCAGTTCTACCGTCTAAAGCGTCGTAGTGGGAGGACGATGCCTATCAAGACGATCTCCAAGGAGCTTGTGAGGGAGATCTCCGCAAGTTATCCAGACCTCAAGGTCCTCAACCTTTCAAGCAATGAGTTAGTCAAGATCGAGAACCTGGAGCCCTTGACGTGCTTGACGAGGCTGAACGTGTCGTCCAACAAGATCCTGGTGAGCGATCCCACATGCTTCTCGGTTGAGTGAGCATGTTGGTTGCAGGTCCTGAACAACTTGTGTTCTCTGATACACCTGAAAGAGTTGTATGCTTCGAACAACCAGATCACATGCGCAAACCTCGAAGGATTGGCAAGCCTGGAAGTGTTGGACCTCAACTCGAACAGTGTCGAGCGGCTAGAGGATTTGGTGGGCCTCGGTGCACTTCAGAATCTCAAGTCCATACTGCTCGATGGCAATCCCGTCGTAGACTCCGCCGATTATCAGCAGTTCGAACAATCTCGCTTCCAACGAGTTGTCGAGCACTCTGAGTCCTTTGGCGAGGCAGGAGACTTTGCTTCAGCTGCCACCAGCGAGAACAAGCTCGACGATGATGACAGCTGCATGCAGTGGAATGCTCCTGCTCTGAGAAGGCGTGTTGAAAGCGAGGGATTGGATGTCCAGACAAGTTCTCTTGTTCAGATGAAGGCCAACACAGAAGACTCCCCTCCGTGCAAGTGTGAAAAAGGATGTCAAGGTGAGCCGGACGGCAAGAGATGTTCCCTTTCTCACTCGTGATTGCAGCGCGTTGGGAGCAGCATGATGTCGGCTGTCAGGCAGACGTCAACGACGAACAGGTTCAGAGGATGGCGGAGAAGAATGATCAACTTGAAAAGGCCCTTCTCCACAAAAGTGAGCTCTGCAACGTAAGCCCATCCTTGTGCTCGCTCCCCAACCTCTCATCCTCCTGCCACTGCAGACTCTGGAGGTCAAACTTGAACGATGCAACCACGAGCTCTCGTGCGAGCGAGCCAGGGTGCGGAGCCTTCAGTCCGACGTCTCTCAGCTGGAGCAGAAGCTGGAGGAATGTGACAAGAAGGTAGCTGAGCTGTCCTTGGCCCTCAAGGAGAAATCGTCGGAGGTGCGAATGTCAAAAGTCGTTGCTGTTGGATACAAAATTGAAGCCATGTGGCAGATACAGAGCCTGAAATCCTACATCTTTACCAAGGGGGCTGAGACTGAGGAGCGATGTGAGGACTCGTCCTCCTGTCAGAACCGAACTGAGGAGCATGGGGAGGTGCTCGTGAGAGAGGTACGAGCGAATGCAGGACGCTTTCAAACTTGCTGACGGGATGATGCAGGACTGCGATGGTGTGCAAGACAGGATTCGGCTGTTGGAAATGCAACTTGAAGCCAATCAAGAGATTTTGAAGGTGCAGGACAAGTGGATGTCGGAGTTGGAGAGGAAAACAACTGAAGTGGGCAAGAGCCGCGGATGGAAAGGCGAAGAAACGCGGGATGTTGTGAATGAGTTCTGCACAAAGATGGTCAAGGAATGGAGAAGCCAAGTGTTTGCAGTGCTGTTGGAGTTGAAGGCAAGGGAGAACACTTACGAGATCGAGAAGGCAAGACTCGTCAGGCAAATCGACGAGATGACTGATGAGGTGGGCGAGGGAGATGAGGCAGAGAGTGTCTAACATCGGAATGATCAGTTGACATTGCAACAATCTCAAATCGAGAAGTATCAACAACGAGAGGTATGCCGTCTCCTTCCCTCCCCCCCCCCTGCTACTACTGCTACCGTACTCCTCCTCCACACCTTCCGTCTCTGCTCAGATTGCTCGGCAATCATCAAGAGGCCACACTGAAGACTCTTCTGACACTTCTTGACAGATCTCGCTCAAGGCGGAGGCGCACTTGCGGTGTCAAGAGAGAGATATGGAGAGGCAGAGGGTTGCGACCGCGGAAGATTCCTTGACGAGGATGAAGAGAAGCATCACCACTTTCGAAGAGCAGCATGGGGAGGTTGCTTCAACCCTGCAAGCTTTGACCTCCATGTTCAGCAAGATGCACGAGACGGGTGAGCGAAGCAAGAAGAGCAGACCGAAGAAGTATCGAGACGAGATAGAAGCGATTTTGGCGACCTGCCGCGTGTTCAGCGAGCTGGACGGCAAGTTGACGTCGTTCACGCAGAGGATCTGCTTCGCTTCCCGTCGCATTGCTGTTGCTCAAGGTCTCTTCCGAGCCAGAGCGCGAAGATGGTGCGCTCCTCCAGACCCCGAGCTTCATAGGCCCGTGAACAAGAGCAGGAGTCAATTGGCTCAACATCAGGCTCCTGGTCCGGTCGAACCCGCGGCAGTTGTAGTGTCGGGCAAGTCAGCTGGAGCGCGGAGGGACTGCATGAGCTGCCTGTCACTTGATGGAGAAGTGAAGCGACTGCTGGACGAACGAGAGAAGTTGACCGGGTTTGTGCAAACAGCCGACGCGAGGACGGCAAGCAAGGTCCTTGTCTGTGATGGACGCCATGGCCCCGAGTTGACGGGTGAACTAGGTCAAGGAGATGCAGGAGCTGATGTCGAAAGAAGCCGAGCAAGTCAAAGAGGAGTTGGAGAGGGTCAAATCGTTGTTGAACGAGACCTCTCTGCTCTTGGCCGACGAGCGTCAGAAACTCTCGGTGAGGTGGTTGTAGATAACATGCCGTCTGAGGGCCTTTCAGGCTTGTGAACAGTGCGGGCTGGAGAAGGCGGAAGAGATCCAACGGCTGGCAAGAGAGCTGGCTGAGATGAAGATCTTGCTAGAGGCCCAGCGGGAGCAGGCTACCTTCGACCTCAACAAAGCGCATGAAGTTGCTGAAGACTCACTGAGAAGGCTGAAGAGCGAGAACCTGCAACTCCAGAAGGAGAACGGGAAGCATGTTGTGCATATCCGACAGGTTGTGAGTGTCACTTCACTACATGCCCGTAAGCACCTACACCAGGTCGAACGACAACTCTCCTGTCTGCAGGAGAAGACAGACAAGGAAGACCGACTGAAGTTGTCGCTCATGGAGGACAGACTCTTGGAAACCCAGGAGGCTCTGAAGGAGGTCTGCTGAACTCGTGCCTGAGCATGTTTGTTTGATACTTGAGCTTAGATGAGGAAGGAGAGAAACGCAGCAATGGCCACGTTAAGGAGGATGCAAAGGGAGGATGAAGCGAGGCGATGGCAAGGGAATGACAGAGGGCTCCATCGACAAGTAGCAGACGCAGAGCTTGAGTCTGCTCGTCGACATTCTCCGAGCGAGCGGAAGGACCAAGCAGTTGAGGCACAACAAGTTCTCACTCAACCGCCTGGTATGTCAACTTACCGTCGTTTGCTCGTGTTAAGTCAGTTTTCTGCGATACAGAACAAGTGTCGGGACACGACGAGCGAGCTACAGCAGCCGCCTCTACTGCTCCTGCTCCTGCTCCTATTGGGGGTATACCATCAGCCAAGACAGCAGCACGTAGCGAAGAAGTGGAATCCAAGGTGCCGCCTGACGCCATGGTTACCTCCTCTGACACAGCTCCAGGCTTGCTCCCTCCCATCAAGCTCCAAGATCTGTGAGGAAGACGTAGAGGAAGACGTAGAGGAAGACGTAGAGGATCCGCCACCCCATTCGAAGCTTCCTGATGACTCGATCCTGTCAAGTGATCCCACGCCTCAACGCCACAAAAGCGGAGCGAGTGGGAGCATGGAAACGAGGCTTGAGAGCCTTGCAGCGACCGCCAAGCTGCTTCTGCTGGATTGAAGGCTGAAGGAGCCAAGATAGGTTGATATTGGAGCGGGACGACAGGAACTCTTATCGACACGGAGTCACTTTGGACTATATTTTGGGTAATGTTTCAAATTTGATTTAGTTAGATTTCAGTATAAGTACATCGTTATCATATCCACAGGTGGATGCGTGATTGTGCTGTTTGTTGTGTCCGAGTGAGATAGGTCTCATAGAATTCGGATCAAGAAGATCATAATGTAGGCCAGGAGGATCAGCACAAGGAAAACTTGAAACAGAATGAAGTATCGGCTTCGCGAAACTGAGTAATTTACCTGGTAGTACAGTGAGGAGAACGACTGAGTCTAGATAGAATTAACTCACCTCTTCCGCAGCATCTGGTGGATTTTCACGGGGCACAGGAATTTTCAAACATGGAATCTACGTGCTTGGATTACTTCATGCGCGCATGTACAACAAAGGTGTTCACCTCTGACTTGCAAACTGGACAGAAAGACTTGGAAAAATCCGAATATTGTGTTCTCAACCATCTGCAACGCGAAGATCAGATCTGAAAAAATTGAAAAGATGAACATAAGATAACAAAAGAAGCGCTAGCGCACACAACCCATGTCGTACCTTTGAATACAGCTTCGATGGAAAAAATGTTGGCAATCCAGTTTCACGATATCTTGTTTCAATGAGAAATCATCCAGACATACAACACACTGCGATGAATCCATTTCCGATGGCTGAAACCACCATTCTAAGCCATGCAGAACATCTATCAGACTTGTACTCACATCATGTGGAACGATCTTCAGGTTTGCTACGCAGATGTCGACATGTGCGCTGAAATTTATCGCCAGCCTTCAAGGACCAACATGTCAGTCTTTGACCAAATTCCCTGTAACATTAAGTACCCAGCATGGATCGAATGTCCAAGTATTCTTGTAGGCTGCAAGAGCACGCAATCAGGTTGCATTGAAAAACTAGGAATCTGATCCCAGTATACATACCTGCACTTCTGCAGGGGAAGTCGAATTCGCAGCTTCATCTTCTTCAATCGAAATGGCTACTTGTTCGCTAGTTTCTTCTCTCTTTTCAGTTTCCGCGTGGGTGATAGCTGGCGAAGCTTCCTCCATCCTTTGAGGATTGTGGGATGGAACCAAGTCTGTTCAATCTTTGCCCTGGTCACTTTTCCAACGTGAGCACAGGAGACAGTAGGCAGTAGAGGCAGGATCGAAAGCAGCAGACAGTAGTAAGGCCTTGTAGACGAATAGCAGGCAGAGTCGTTCAGATCTTCACTTGCAGAACGCGGAAGGGCACGGGAAGGGAAAGGTGGCAAGGGGAGGGGAGGGGAGGGGGAGGACCTGAAAGTGACTGTGTAGTAAGGAATAGTAAAATATCTCTCAAATAGGGGTGATTTTGATAGGAGGTACAGGGGTGGTTTCGGGGGTACGGCAAAGGACATGTGTTCTGTTCGTATCTCGTGGGAGGGTGGGTGGTTCTCTAAGAGTGGGAAGACCCTGATAGGAGGTGATGACATCAAACGTGGGGCTGACGGAGGGGGTGGGGGTGGGGAGATTGTGGGGTGCAAATGACCGTAAAAGGGGTCGGTGGGGTAGGGTTGCGATGGTTCCACGGTTGTTAACTGGGGCCTAAATGGGTAGGGTGCCACAAGTCTTTATGTACCCCTGTTTCCTTAGATCATTTCCGGAATATGTACGGGTCATTACCTGTGAAATTCGGGGGTGGGTGGTCGAGGAGGCACATGATGATTTTTGGAAGTGGGGGGGGTGGGGGGGGGGGGGTGGACGCCCCTCAAAATGTTAATTAACTGACAGGGACAACTAGAAAAAAAAAGAACCCGTGTAGTAAACATTAAAAAAACATAAAATGAAATCCGCCTCTTACCGCGGCCAATCGCTCGTCCTTGCCGAGGGTCGGGTGGAGGTGGGAAGGGTGGGGGTATTAAGGGGAGAGATGAGGGGTTGGGCATGGTTCTAGAGTTACCTGCCAGTAAAGTTACCGGAATGACTTCATGATACTGTTGCGCACCAACCACCTAGCGACAGCCCTGGTGAAGGGGGTCCGGTACTGCAGGGTTGGTAACCTTTCAGGCAGGTGTTGAAATCAGAAGCTGATGGACTTGTTGACACGGGATAGTCACGACGAAGCTTGAATAGGAGGACATACGTGGGAAGGGCGGCAACGAAGGAAGCATATCAGAACAACATCTCGACAGACAAGATGGGACTTGGGCCGACCAAGTGGTAGCGATCGACGAGCCTGAATGAAAGAACACATTGCGGGACAGTTATTATGCGCCATGGTTGAGACCAGTGCGGGCAAGACCGTCAGAATAGACTGAACCAACATGGTGGTGAAAGTAGCGTGTTGTACTGCAATAAAAACGAACATCGATGAAGAGAGGACGAGACTGAAGAGTTTCGATGGCTCAGAAGAGCAACAGTGTGGCGAATGTCTTTTGGCGTCATGTCGTCCGGAGGTACATCCATGCCGGCAGAAAGAGGCAAGCAAGATCAGTCTCGCTTCAGATGCACCTCGTCTCTCGTCCCCGAGTGTCAGTGGGGAATCTAGAAGCTGAATCTATCGTAACGACTCGGACTTGGAATAAACTCATTTTCCATCAAAGTCCGAACACGTCTGCTAGCGCTATCCTCGACACTTGATCCAATGCTGATTCTGCTCTTCCACCAGGCCGCAAGATGTCACAAACGTTTTAGGGTTGAACAGGGATGTGTATGATTTATGATTCTAGTTGGTATCAGAGCGTTTCAAGTTTTGGGCTTCACTACTATAAAAGATTGATTGAATGCTTGACCGGCCATTGTCATCCCTCTAGCAAGTACTCCTTGCTTTTGAATACTTCCAGAAGTTGTTTCTTGCTCATGAATTCGGAAGATTTTTCTGATGGAGAATGGTCATACGATCCAGCATCGGCTTCCCACTGCTCATCCTCCTTATCAGGCAGAAGAATCGCATGCTTAGAATTATGTCCCCGCGCATCTATGTCGACCTGGTGAAACACTCCTTTCCGGTCAATGTCTAAGATCGCTTTCTTCCTGGAGCCTAGAACTTGCTTTAGGCAGTATTCGGCATGATCCACGCTGATGATCTTTTCCCCGTCAATGCTTACAATCAGATCTCCGACCTTTCAAACTTGTAAGATAAGGAAAGCAGAAACCTCTCACAGATCTCAAGTCCTGTTTTCTACCTGTTCCTCCACGCAGAAAAGTCTATGGTTTTATCTAACACCAGACCTTTCGCTCGCATTTCAACCCACGTTTTGACTTACACAGAGTTGTCGTTGGTTGGATATCAAACTTCCAGGCATGATGTCTACAACTTTTGCTCTTTCTGTAAAAATATCAATATCCGCTGCCAAGATCACTCCCAGGATTTCTGAATTTCAATCATCACCCTACTGCAACACAAGAAGGAAACACCATACCGTTTTCAAGAACACTTTCCATCAAGTTGGCATTCGCCTCTTCGAATTGTGTCAGCGGGTCGGAAATTTGTCGTTTTTCCCGTTTTTCCCTTGCTCTGTACCAAGTCGGTTTGAAATTGTTAGCACGAAGAAAGTATCGTTCTCCACAAGGCACCTCGCTCCGATTTTCTTGTCGTCATTGAAAATCTTCCTCGATGATTCATTGCTATGTAATGAATCGTTGTTTCTCTCAGATGGTGTCGTCTTCTGTACGTGCTGATGAAAAATCAGCGATCTAGACAAGAAAAGCACTAGTGAGTACACACCTTTGGATTCTCCACAGAGATCGAAGGTGATTGGTTTGTTGGCAACTCGTTGAACAACTTTGGATTCTCCACAGAGATCGAAGGTGATTGGTTTGTTGGCAACTCGTTGAACAACTTTGGATTCTCCACAGAGATCGAAGGGGATTGGTTTGTTGGCGACTCGTTGAAGAATCCTACATCAGGTACTTTAGTGTTGCTCAATACTCTCTCTGTTGTCTCGGCCTTCTCAGCACTCTCATGCTTTGACTTCTCCAGCGCCTTGTTCCCAAACCGCACCAGATCATTTGCCATGACTCCATTCTGCGCAAGGACCTCTCAGTTGAAGACATTCTCTTGCTGCCTGTACCTCATAGAAAGCGTCTCTCCATTGCAGGCGCATGGTCTCAAGCTCCTTCTTCCAATCGATAAGCCAGTTCTTCAAGCCATGACCAACCTTGCGCAAGTTTTCCAACAGCTCTCCCTGACTTCTCAAGCTTTCCTGACTGTTCTTCTGCCAACATCGATGCACTTCTGCAGCTGTGGCCGAGACTGCCTTCATGTCTCCCTCCTCTGCTGCCTTCTGCAAGCGGGCGAGCGCTTGTACCATCACTGTTCGCTGAAACATGTCGCCCACACGCACACGATGCATCAAGGCATCATTAGTCAGGCCCTGCAACCCTTGTGATGAAAGAAACTGGAGCAAGAAACTCACATCTCGTTTCCTGACCGTCAGCCATACCAGAGAGCCTGGAAGGTCGCAACCCTTCATGGCTTCCTCGATGTTTTGACTGCTCACTTCCTGCCCGTCGACCTTCACAATCACATCACCGACGCTCACAGCGCCGCATTCCATGGCAGGACTTCCATCCATGATGCACCCTATCGAGCATCCAGACAGAATTATGCCACACTGTTCAAGACCGAGTCAAACAACAAGATCCAGAACAGCAAGTACTGCACCGTGCACTGGGGTAAGTCATCGTGCTCGCTCGCTTCTGCTGAGACCGAGAGGGTGAGGACGTCGATAGCATCCAACATGAAGGATGTCATGGAATCCTGGCGCTCAAGACTGCCATGCAGCTTCTCCAGCCTCTCCAGGCTCTGCATGATGCGCTCCTCCTGCATGGTAGACTGATTTTTCGCTGCGAGGTCGCTTGTCAACTCCGAGGGTCCGAGGCCGAGTGCAAATCAGTGGGGTGGGGGGTAGTTCGGGAGTTCCGGGAGGGGAGTGGTGGAGTGGTATCGGAAGGGGTACTTGTAGGAAACGGGACCCGTGGTACAGTTGGCCGTACGGTGCACGACAGAAGAGGGGTACTTCACTCCCTAGAATTAACTTAACTTTGAATAGCAACCTTCAGTATGCTCATATTTACTCATCAAAGTTAAGTGAAATTCATTCGGAACGATCCCGGGGGCCGGCGGGCCTTCGGTCAGCTGCGGCCCGACACTGAGAGAAAGGGCGTCCCTGTTGAAGGATCCCTGTTGAGGGAGACAGGAAGGAATACGTAAAGGGCGATGGTGGAGGATCAGGGAAGGAGGGCAGCAAGGAGGAAGCTGGAGGAGCGAGGAGATGAGTTGAGCAGGAGAGGTGGACCAAGGCCAGCACTTGTCTCTACCTGCCTGATGCTGTCTCTTCTATCCTGCTGGGTCGATGTCGGGATGGGGTGGGCAGTTCCAGGACCTTGTGTGCAAACTGCTCACGTCGCCGTATCTTCATCGTTCTACCGGCGAGGTCCCCGGGCATCAGCACTCGTCGAGCACAGAAGATCATCATGCTCGATGCCGACTAGGATGTCAGATCAAGATGATCAAGAAGAAGAGGACGACGACGACAAGGAGGGCAAACTTCAGGACCTCGCTGTCGCTCGTCGCTCATTGCTCGGTCTGATTCTAGGGGGTGGGGTTGTGGCGATGACGAAGATTTACGGAGAGTCGGAGCTGCTGCAGCTTGACTCCATGTGGAGGAAGACCTTTCCTCAGGAGAGGAAGGCAATCAGGCCTTCTGTGGACCCCACGTTTGTTTCAGATCTGGGGGACTTGATCAGGGCGGTAGCTGTGGAGGATCTTCGTCTGGTTGCGGGAGATGCCTTGGCTTCAGAGGAAACTGAGGTTGCCTCAAAGGCTGCTTCCTTCTTCAGGATGCCTGACGGCGGACAGCAAGCAAGATCACTGTTGGATGAGCGGAGGACTGTGGAAGCCCTTTGGATGGATGAGAGGATGGCGAACCTGGCTCTGTATGCGAGGATCCACACGATTGGGTCGAGGCTTGCGAGTCCTTTGAGCAGGAAGCAATACGTTGAGAGCGTTGGGAAAAGATTTTTACAGTCCTCATTCTTCGGAGGTGAATTTTCAGCAGCCAAGTACCGGGTGAAGGACCCGATCCAGGACTATGCAGTGTGGTATGAGGGCCTGAAGGAGCTCTTGCGATGTTACACCGCAAGAGGGTGAGAAGAGGGGGATAAAGAGGAGGAGGAGGAGGAGGAGGAGGAGGAGGAGGAGGAGGAGGAGAAAGAAGGATATCGATGCAGTAATCATGGTCCGTGGTCGCAGGTACGGGATCTGCAGCATCGGTGAGAGGGGCACAGGAATGCTGGACGAGATCTCGTGGAGAGGTACGGGAGCAGCTTGACACGCCTCCTCTCTCACTACAACGAGCAGAGGATCGCGAGTCCTCGTTCACTGTCTTTGTCTCCGACCTGGCCGTCAACGATGCTGCACAGGTGATCGTTACTTCTTTCTGGCGGTCCTCCTGACCCTCGGTCCTCCCAGGCTCTGGCAGGAGAGTCGATCAACGACCTTGCGGAAGTCATGCTCCCAACTCCCGTCATCGTCGAGTATCTTCGCGCCATGGGGATCCAGGTGGATGTTGCCTCTGGTATCCCTCCTGTCAGCTGAAACCTTGCAGTGCGATGCAGAAAGCTACTATCTCAGTAGCGTCTATACCAGGAATCCAGCTGACTACCATCCCGACTCCTTAGCCATTCAATTCAACCTCGCGTACAAAAAGTAGCTGCAAGATCTTGTGTCTATTGACATATTTACAAAACGACTCGCCGAGTTCTCTCACTCGCTCCTCAGCATATCGGTACCATCTGGGCGTTCGTTCTCCTCGTTGACTTGCTGGGTGTCTGTGACTGCTTTCCTGAACAAGAGTCACCCGAGCCTTCCTCGAACAGCCTTGCTCCTACCCTGACAGGGTCTTCAGCCCGAACGCCCCTCCGAAGGCCGTAAGAGCCAGCGACCTGCCATCCTCTCAGCACCCACGAGAGCCTCTACTGCACGCTACCTCGTCGCCCTCTGAAACAAGAGAGGAGCCAAAGTCAAGCCGTAGGATAAGATTCCTGGTTTCGCACAATCCCGGAAAATCCGACCTGAGGCGCGTGAGCTTCGGCGACTGCACAGCTTCGCAGCATTTGCTTCCCCTACCTTGCAGCTCTGGCGTCTTGAACATCCACTCATCATCTCCTGCCATCGCTTCGCCCCATACGGTCAGTGTGAACCTCTCATCAGCCTGCGGCACCAGCTCAGCAACCCCTGTGCGCACCCTTTCACCGACAACCTCTAGCAGCTTGATGATCGCATCGTGCCCTACTCGCGCCATGGTGCAGTGCACAGGGAACGTAACATGCCCGACGCCCCGAGGTAGAGTGCGGAGGGCATCGTCGATGTGGTCCAACTCGTATCCTTGGAGTACCATGGGGTCCAGGAGCCTGGAGGCCTACAGGAGCTGATGAGATGGAGCCAGAGAGCAGGAGGAGTCTTGGGCTCACCGCATCACTCGGCCCTTGAAACTTCAGCCAGCAGGTCCAGCCCTTCGTCCTCGTCACTGATAAGGATCGACTGCCCCAGCTACTCACCGGGCTGAGAGTGCCGGCGGGGTAGATGTCAAAACAAGCTGCGAAGAACTCTAGCCAGCTGTGTCAGAGACCTTGCATCCTCTTGCCAGAGGATTCACCTGATGGCTGGATCTGCGGCACTTTCCCTCCTGGGCCCATCCAGACATCGGCGTTTAAGAATACCTTGGAGGGTTCAATCATCAACCTGTTGAACTGGAGGGAGAGGAAGCACTCACTGGAAACCCAATGCTCTCGTTGCTTCCAGCGAGCTCTCTAAGGAACGTTAAACAAGGAACTATGCATCTCGGATCCTGGTCGGGTGCCGCATCAGGCCAGAAGCGCTCGCGAAAAGGAGGGAAACGAACCTTGAAGTCGAACTTGACCCCGACCCGAGCATTGTGGGGACAAACTCGATTGTGCTCCACAACTCGTAGACCTGAGCATGCTGAGTCATCTCAAAGGGAAAACAAAAGAATTCCAAATGGATTACAAAATTCCTGGAAGGTCAAATCAGACGTTCTGCTCGGCGGATGCGCCATGACTGCTATGTCCTTCAAAGATCCGCAGCTACCCCAGTTAACATCGGCTTCAAGGAACATGACGCTGCTTCCTTTGCTGAGAGCCCTTTCAAGCTTGGCAGAACTGTTTGTTGCATGGCTCCAGATGATCTGTCCGATGCCAAACGTCATATCATCATCGGAACTTTGTCAAACATAAACTCACGTCAAGTGGATTGGAGATTCCAAAAAAATGCAGTGTTTTCGACAGATTTTCGCCGCACTGCATCGCTCTCCTGCCATATTCCCCAGATTTTTCCCATTCCCACTCCTTGCCCTGCATCCTCTCCTCATCCACGACATCGAGCAGAACTGGATGCGAAGTGCCATGTTGCTTGCGATGCTTGTGCTTCCCCTGACTGTCATTCTTCTTGCTGTTATCGTAGGTGGGAAGTCTTCTTGCGAGGATGGCGGTGGATGAAACAACCATGTTGCTCATGTTCAGATTGCGAACTCAGGGCTCTCTGTTAACCTCACAGTCCTCGTAGCCTCCGCCATAGGCTGCGCCTGCTGCCACCGCATGGAGGAGGTAGAAATGGTGAGATATGGGTTGGGGTACATATCTGTTGGGACTTGGGGGTAGGGTTTCATTTGATAAACGGGGGTAGGGCCAACTATGGTAGGGTCCTAAATGGATGACACGGGTGGGTGGAGGTATCAGTGAGGGTATTTTATATGTTCAAAAGTGGGGTACAAACTTTTTCACAAGGTAAGGGTGGGTCAGGGATGTGTGTACGGGTGGGGTGGTGATTCAAACGAGAGAATGAGGGGGTGCAAAGATTTTGATGTGGGGTGGGGGTAATCGACGCCGTAATTAGGGAAATTGGAGGTGGGGTGGCCTGTAACAGATCTATATTATTGACGGGTAGGGGTACTCTAATCTGTTACTAGACGGGTATATTTGACTAACTATTGTAGGGTGATAATGATCAGGGAACAAATTGGTGGGGTAAGGGTCTTCAAATGGGGGTAGTTGGGCGGAAACTTCCAGGCCCGCCCGGCTTCCGATGCTTTGAAAGACTCCCGGTCGGCGGCGTGTACTAGCAGTAACACCGTGTAGCCCGGCCACCGGCCCGGGCCCGGCGCCGGGCCCGGCGCGGGGTTCTGATCCGAAACCAGGTTCTGATCCGACTTGCAAACGTGACGCATCCGGTTCACCAGGATCTTTCGTCAGCCCAAGGCCTCCCTGTCCTTCGCTGCCGCATCATCGTGGGTGCAGTCATGGTCGGCGGCGGTCACAGCCTGCCAGTCGGAGTGATGCCCGGCCGGTACTACACTGATGCGTCGGAGCCTCCGAGTCTCATTCCAAGTTCAGGCCGCGGCTATCTGCCATGATGACTTAACTTTAGTAAACCCTACTAATTTTGAGTAAATGCCTGATCATCAGTTCCGAACTTGCTATAAGACTCGGCCTCCGGGGCTCCGAGCCGGGCCGCCGGGCGGCCGAGCCTCGGAGGGCGGCTCGGCGCCGGGGCGCCGGCGGCGGCGAGAGTCCCGGAGTCTTCGAGTAGAGGTATAGCCCTCATCCCCGCTCATCGATTTTCACGTGCGAATGGATGCAGTGGGAAAATGTCTGAAGGATGAAGGGAGGGAGGAGAGGAGCGAAAGAGGAAAGGAGCATGAAGGGATGGACTAGACTTAATCGAAGCTGAGGAGGAGGAGGGGGGGGGGGGGGGGAGCACGAGGAGCACGAGGAGAAGGACGAGGACGAGGAGGACGAGGACGAGGACGAGGAAATATGAAAAATCTGCTGAATTTGCTCTTCAGGAAGAATCCGCAAAATCAGCAGAATTTTCACGTCGACTAGATCACAAACCAGTAGCAAGGTAACAACGGAACATTGAGAGTCATCTGCCCAAAGAAGACAAGAAACATCAAGTTGGAACTCCATCCTAGCCCCCCCTCCCCCCTCCCTCCTGCCCTCCACAAGGATCCTATCCCTTGGCTGGTAGAGGCCGGCAAGGTCCAAGGAGGATGCCGTTACCAGCACTGCAGGAGGTTGTGCTGAGTGGAGGAGGGGATGATTCTACCATGAACATGTGGGAGCTTATCACGGCAACGACGATCGTGTCCTATCGTCCAGCGTCTCCTGCTTCCAAGGATGCGGTAGCTACTGTGGGAAGGGATTTCTTTGCTGTGCCCCTTGCAAACAAACCAACGTTGCATGTCTTCAACTGGAGAAAGGACCAGGTATTCTTTTCCTGCCTGCTTGCTGCTGCTTGCTGCTGCTGCTGCTGCTGCTGCTGATGCTGCTGCTCTCCTCGTCCTGCTCCCTTCTCGTCCTGATCCTCTTGTTGCATTTCCTGTCTCATTGCTCGTCAGTTTGGTCTCTTCACCTGGAAGCCTCTTATTACCTTAAGTGTCTCCTCCTTTCTCCTCCTTTCTCCTTCTTCCTCCTCCTGCTAGAAGTTTCGCTCCATTGTTTCTTCCAGTCCTCCTTCTCTACAACTTTCTCCTCTATCACTTGTGTTCTGTCTCTTTCTTAGTTGGCCGCTGGCACTGATTTCCATTCCTCCCTCCCACTCCTGCCCCCTCTGCTCCTTCCGATTCTGCAGCCGCACGCGAAGATGTCTCTTCCCGAGAAGGTTTGCTCGATCGCAGCCAATGCCGACGGTGAGGAGCGTTCTTTTATCTTTTCACGGGTACCTGATGTGCAGCAGGAAGCTACATTCTCGCTGGAGCCGAGACTGGAAGAGTTTACTTGTGGGAGGAAAGTTTTATTTCATGCTGTGCAGAGGACGAGGAAGAGGGGGAAGAAGGGGAGGAAGGGAGAGAACAGGGTGGGGAGAGGGGAATGGTGGGATGGGAGACAAGGGAGGAGGAGGAGGAGAGTTGTGAAGGAAGTTTACAGGTGTGCGGAGGAGCTCTGATTCGAACGTGGGAGGCTCATTACAGATCAGGTGAAACTGCTTTGAGAGAGGAAGAGGAAAGGAGACGAACTGAAGACAGTGGCGAGACGAGGGAGAGAAAGAAGGGCAGGGCAGGGCAGGGCAGGGCAGGGCAGGGCAGGGCAGGGCAGGGCAGGGCAGGGCAGAGCGGAGAGGGCATCATTGCGGAAGAATTTGACAGCAGTCAACATGAGAGGAGCAGAAAGAGTGTCGACTGACATCGATGCAGTCACTTCGATCGCCTTCACTGACGACAGTTCGTTCATCCTCACTGCCTCTGAGGACGCTCTGGTATACAGAGAGAAGAGGAGGGGCAATGGGATCGTCGGCGATGTCGAGGACGGGAGGGGGGAAGGGGAGGGTGGGTCGGAGAGAAAGAGGATGGATGGAACATTTGAGGAAGGGGAAGGGTAGGAAGGGGAAGGGGAAGGGGGTGGGGAGGAGGGCGGAGGGGGGTA